GGTAGGATCAATATCTGTGGAGGCGGTTCAGCCCAAAAAGCTTCATAGGTAAGTCATAAGGTCACAGAAAACAGTTGCGTATCTATTTGCGAAGCGCGCAAAAAATGCGGAGAAATCACACTGTAAAGGCCGTAATGAATTAGGCCGCAAAAGAAGTTTGTTTCGGCAGTGCAGCTTTTGAGATGATGTCCTACACTGCTCCATAGCTGGCTGATTCGTCGCACTCTGGCGGAACTTGGCTCACCGCGGTCACCTGAGGGTTAGCTTGCCCAGCCGTGCCGTGCCCTGACTTGGATTGACACATCATGGGGGTCGGGTGCTCGGGAAGGGATATCTTCAATCCTGTGTGCGCTGAAGTGCCTACACAACAAACCTGCGATTCCGAAGGCTGTGAAGACGTATACTATGAAGATCAAGCTGGCCAAAAAGCCTGTTGCCTCAGTTCCGTGTTGCCCGTGCCGGCGATGCACGTTCGTCCTGCTACGGTACGGCCACACTTTGAATGTGTTCACTTCGAGCACCAGACTTACCATTTTCATGATCTCCAACCTTGGAACAGCACAAAACTTGTGTTAGTTTCCAACCTAGCGACAACTAGCCTGGCAATGCCACCCAGCGTTCCGAATCCTTGCGACGTTCAAGAATCCGCCTGCAAGCATGGAGTGGCTCCTCATGCAAGGATCAAGCAGAACAGACCCTTGCCTCAGTGGTTCCGTCTGAAGACTGGCACCAAGATTCGCTACAACAAGTGCTGCCCTCGGTGCTGGACAGGGACTTGTGCTGAGAGATCTTTTGTCCCGCAGTCATGGGAAGGATAGGCTTCATGCCACATGCAGTTGCCAATGGCTCGCAAACAGAGCTTGCCGGAGCCAGTTACGATGGGACAGCGTAAGCACGGAAGGAGTATCATGGGATTCTAGGTGGCTGTGGAGCCTGGATCATCCAGCTAGTCCCAGCACTGCTGTTTTCAGCCGATGCTTTCGATTTGCTTTCTGCCTTTTAGTTTTGCTGACAGTGCTTGCCTGCGAGGTTTCGCCGACATTGGCGTCGTGGCAAGATTGGCGTCCCAACCCGAGTCTGCACGCATGCTCCTGGCATGGCGAACTCATGTTTGTCCGAATTGTGTGCTCAACTTTTGGGTATGTCAAGCTTGCGGAAGGTCTGAGCAAAAGAGAAATCCAGGACGGGCTTACCTTGCTAGCAACAGCTACCTGACTACCTGTACGGATTGACCAAGATGTCACTTCTGCCGGGCTGCTGGTCCAGGAGATCTCTATCCTTCTCAGTCATCGACAACTTGCATTTCTGCTGTGCGCTGCCCGGTGGGATTTCCAAAGCTGGACAGGCATATCTCGCGAGCCACAAACCTGATGCCCAAGTTGTCGTCTAACAGGTCCTACACGGCGGTACATGATGCTTGGCCACAGAGCTTGATGACGTCGCTCGCACGAGGGCAAAAAGAGGCAACCGTCTTTGACCTTACGGCATGTTTAAAAGACTTCTGCCGCTGCACAAAGCGGTGCCCAAAGGTGCACAACAAAACACAACTTGACACAGCGCGCATTCAGCAAGACTCGCCGATCCAGAGCGAAAAGCACCCGCCCAAACCCTCCTAAACCTCGCCCACAGCAGCAAACTGAAACCAGTGAGAGCTATTAAGGAATTGAAACTTGACTTTAACAAAGGAATAAAATCTAGAATTGCTAACATCTGTCCTAGGTAGGATCCAGGAACCCTTTTGACCGGCCCCTGAACCCTAGCAGGCCCTAGCATCCTGCCCATTCCGGGTTTAGGGATTTAGGTGCAGGGAGCTGAATGCTTCGATACTAGAATTTTTACCAGGCCTTTCATTTACAGATCTCAGACTCAATATTATCATATCTAGAAATGGGGCGGTATATATGGAGCGATAATACGAACAATCATATTTCGCTGCTAAAACTCCTAATCGAATTAAAAAGATGCTAGTTTAAATAATCTTGGAACCTCTCGCCCCCCCCCCCCCACCGGCCCGGACGATGGGGCCGGACGCGGGGGAATCTAGGCTTTCGCTGATTGGGCTTTAAGTCGATCGGAATCTTGGATTCTCCCGCGACCGTCGGTCGAGCGCCTTTGACCCTTAACTCGTCCCCTCCCTCACAACCCGGCCGATGGGGTCGTACTTTTGGGCCTTGAGTCGGTCGGATCGCGCTTTTGGATTATAAGTCGAAAGGAGTCTAGGAAATCGCGCTTTTGGATTTCAAATTAGCTAGAATCTTGGATTCTTCCACTCAATAAAAAAAACGGGATTTTGTACTGCCGCCGTGTCATCTAATTTGGTCTGGAATCTTGGATTCTGTCGTGCGACCGGTCGGCGTCGGATACGAGGGAAGGCAAGACTTCGTGTGTTCTCGAATTTTGGATTCTTTCGCGTCCGGCGCTTGATTCTTTCGCGTCCGGCTCTTTTTCTGTTTAGAAGTTTATGTTATTGCTTCCTTGCACGATCGGTCGATAGAGACAGATATGAGAAAATCAAGATTTCGATTTTAATTTTTTAAGTCGATGAGAATCTTGGGTTCTTCTATGTAATCGGTCACGGGATGGAATCTGGATTTCGTAGTTTTGGGCCTTAGGTCGGTCGAATCTTGGATTTCTCTGTATTTGTAGTCAGTAGAGCGACATGGGAGGAAGTTGGATTTCGCGCTTTTGATTTTAAATCGGCGGATCTTTTAAGGATTTTATTCGATTGAAATATATCCGTGAAAGGGTCGGTGAGAATTGTCGTAATTTCTATATCGGATAAATTTGATATTCGAATATTTGATGGCATATGAATAATATATTTCTTACGGACCCGATATAATCTCTTGATATTGGATATTTGTTTGTAGAATTTGAAATTTACTTTAATATAATACATTTTTGAGTCGTAAAATTGATAAATGAAAGGATTCTGTCGTAGAATGATAGAAGCTTACATGCCTCTAATTTAGAAAATAAAGATAACTTAGATGAAATTCATCCATTTTAGATATTCGATTCTAAATGTTTGATATTATACGATTTTAATTTTCTAGAAGATTTTATATTCCGGATATCTTGGATATAAGATTATGAATATTCTTGAATATTATTATTCATTAAATTCAAATATATATTTCCGAATTTTTTCTATTAGAAAACACTTTCTTTATAGAAACGTAAAATGTGATATCCCTATTAAGGAAAATTAAGATTAGTTCGATTCGAAAAGACCGAGGTGGTCAAGCCGAGATTACAATCCTCGATATTCGAACTCAATATCGCGATACCGAATCGAATTTTAATAATTTTTATAGAAGAAATTTTTTAAAACCTAAGACTATCTTTTTCAAAAAAGTATATATATTAAAAAAAATATATAATCTCTTATTTGAAATATTAAATCGATATAACTTTATTTATTTAGAAAATAATCTAATTATAAATATCGGTATCTTTCTTATTCGATTAATAGAAATAATATTTTTAGAATTAATATTATCATATATTTTATGAAAGCATATCTGGAAATAAGAATAAATCGAATTAAATTTTTAATATATTCAAGAGCAAATATTAAACCCAATAATCTCGATTTCAATATAAAAATATTTAATTCATTAATATTTTTAATATTTTAAAATATATATAATTTCTCGAATAGTATTCAAATTCCTTCATTTTTCTTAATATTAAAAATAGCAAAAAATCAAAAATATTAATTTAAATTCCTAAATAAAATCGAATTAGTTAATTATTTCTATTTACTAAGAATAATATACCTCTCTTATTATTTTTTTCATTTTAAAATAAATATCAATCATTTCAAATATATTAATTTATTTCCATTAATTTTACAGCTAAAAAATCAATTCATATTAAACCAAATCGAAACCACTTAATATTCTCTACCCATCAATTCCTTTGCTTCTTAAAACAATTATTCCCCTAGAATCCAAAGTTCTCTAATATTTATATTTAGGAATCGGAAAAAGAAATTACGATTCCTTGTTTTTAATTTCAATTAATAAAAATATCTTCATGAAAAAAATAAATTCTAAATATTTGTTGAAATACGAATAAAGAAATTTAAGATTCTTAGACCTGTACGAATCCGTATAACCCTTTAAAAAAAGAATATATGTGTGTCCAACGGATGCTTGCGAATATACCCATACCAACCCAAAGAGGATTCCCACATACGCAAACAAAGGAGTCAGCCCTGGGTCATACCCTACACGAGGCTCGCCCTATTTTAGTACAGCATCATGACATCTTTTGCATATGTTTTATCATTTCGAGTCTCATCCAGACTCTGATACCGTCGGATGATGATTGAATGCAGCTTTAAGCAGCACGTCCTTTAAGGCACATTTCCTCAAGAGCAAGGAGCTTTGCATCCTTACCAGGGAGCGAGGGCTGCAATCCCCATGTGTCAACAACACGGATGCGGATGTCTCGTGTATCTTCCTTACACCTATCATGGTGAAGGCCATAGAAATTGCGAAAGCCGTCCGAAGCCGAGCAAAGGAGAGAGAAACCCAGCCATGCTTCGTTCTCCGGGACGTGCTTTGCCACTGAGCCACAAAGGCTCCAGAAAAGAATATAAATAAGCACATGGACTGGAAGTCCTCTGCACATAGAAACGTGCAACCTGGCTTCCAATCGCATTTGCTGTGCAACGTGGTGCGTGGCTGGTAACAGCGTCTAGGGCAGAAGGTCGAGTGGCTTTGCTTTGACAGCAGGCAAGAAGTTACCAGTCACTGAAACACTCATTCCGTCGTTAACTCTATGCCGAGCAAGGCACCTTTAGGTGACTTGCCAAAGACTCCGTGACAGAGAAGCATTGCTTTCATGCCAATACTGCGCTACAGATGCCAGCGCGACATGCGTGTGACAAGTGCATACGTGTTCACTTGCTGTGTCCAGCTAGCATGCCACATCAGCTTGAAGGCTTCGTCACTGGCATTCGGAAACAGGACAGTCTACTGCGAAGAGGCTCAAGAGAGAGCCGAAGAAGCGCCGCTTTTAGGAGAGAGCCCCTCAGATTTTCCGGTGATCTTGTTAAAAGTGGTGTCAGAAGCGTAGAGGGCTCGTCCAACAGTGTCTTGGTACGCCAAGCGTGCCTCAAAGTCCGTCGGATTACAACGAGTCCGAGACGCTTCCCTACCACATGCAGCATGCAGCAGTGTGTCGCCTGTCCAACAGAGATGAACCTTCGGTACGTGTCATCCCATTGACCCCGCATGTCGTCCGAGATCCGCACAAAAACATTGAACGGCTTGTTGCTTGTGGTCAGCTTCGGGCTGCCAGCCTTTCAGACATGAGCATATCCCATATAGTCAGAGTATTGCAGAGGTTCTGCACGAATCACGAGCTGCCCTGCGATGCTTCGAGCCTTTAGGAAGCCTTGTCTCCTCAACTGGTCCCGCAAAGCGCGCACGCCCCCCAGCTCGTACAACTTCTGCCGCGCTCGTCCTTAGCATGAACGGCCCAGTCTTCGAAGGTGGAGCACGCACTGCCGCGAACTATGCCCGAAAGACGGTGGGCAAGATCCACCCTCTTGATGAATAAACGAGATGGACACAAGGTTCTTGTACTTGCAACCACGATGCGGTACATATCAGCATCATTCAGAACAGGACTCGCTTTGACAGTCTCCTGCTTCAAGTCAATCGACTCCTCAGTCATCCATGGGTGGTAGATGGTGTTTCTTGCAATCGTCTCGAGCATAGCATGATGCATGTGCTGAAATTGGCACTTCACAATGATGCTACAATAGATGCAAAGTCTTCGAGTCTATCGTTTAGGACTGGAAACTCGCGAGACTGTCGCTTGCTAACTTTTGATTGGGCAGGCCCGACGCTGAAGGAGCGCGAGAAATACCTGTTCGACCTGCAAAAGCTGCCGTTGTTCAGCGATGTGAAGAGGCTCACAGAGGTCAGGCCAAATTGATTCAGGCATCAACTCATCTGGGCGAGCCCGGCGCACTTCAGGTTTCAATCCGTTCATAAACATCCACGAGGTGTTCGTTCGAGCGACGCTCCAAGTCATCTTTGAAACCAGCTTTCAGATCAGGACATCGTTATGCATTATGTAGTCCGTACTACATACTACAGACCATAAACTCGATGCTGCATGCTATGTGCAGCATACCACAAACAGCTTTCTTATTATACACACTGTATGCACTATACACCCTACATGCACACTATATACTCTTTATACAATTACATACACACTCTATGTATACCCAATGCAATATGTACTTGGGACTATTACTATCGACTCTACTATACTATACGCTATACTAGTGCATAGAGGCTTTAGGCTTGTGGTAGACTTTGTTTTACTTTACTGCGAAGACCCCAGATAGCTGGGGAAGCGTCATAAAGAAAAGTTCATGGTTTCGGGCATAATGGTTGTCAAAGGTCTCAAACATGAAGCTCAACCAGATTGCTATTTTTATCCCCAATAGCCACTAGGTCTGCGGTCCATCACTTACCTCGTCGGCGGACGAGTCGACCTCGATTTGGGGGAAAGTGCCCCAAAGTCTGTTGAGCCGGTGTCCCGGTCTTCTGTCAATTTTTGTTGGGTCGGTTTCCCGGTCGTGGCATCCCGGTTGAATCCCGGTCGGTGTACCGGTCGCGTTTCGGTCTGCGTTCTGCTGTTGTGTTCCGGTCGTGTCCTTGTCGTATCCCGGTCGGTGTATCGGTCTGTGTCCACGTTGTGTTTTGGTCGTGTCCCGGTCGTTGGGTTCCGGGCTTGTCGCGATCCGCGTCCTGTCGGATGCGTCGGTCGCGTCTCGATCAACGACCCGGTCGTGTCTTGGTCGTTGCCCCGGTCGTGTCGTGGCCGATGTCCTGGTAGTATCCCGGTCAGTGTATCGATAATGTTTTGGTCAATGTCCCGTGTGTCTTGCTCCTTATCCCGGTCGGTGTATGGGCTTGTTTCCGTCAGTGACGACGCGGCTGTACGAAGCATTATGTGTCATACCTTGCGACAGAAGCCTTGTTTGCAAGCGAACATGGCTGCAGAATCCCTGCAATTCTATGTGACGTACCACTCGCTCCAGTGCTGAGATTTGCGGTTTGTCGCCGTCCCAAGTGGCGCCCCAGGGCTAAGTTGTACGGCGACCCAGTGCCATTTGTGGCCTGTGTTTTGGCGTCTAACGTTCCAGCGTTAAAATCTTTGGCTAGAACGTACCATTTGTTAGCGGGGCGTGAGCTCCAAGTCGTGCCCCAGACCTAAGATGTATGATTTGTTGCCGGTGTCTTCGGCTCCAAGTCTACGATTTCATGGCCGGTGCCTTGGGTTCCAACTGGTGTGCCAGGTTCAAGATGTACGATTCGTTGTCGACGTCCTGTGCTCCGGCTGTACGATCCGTTGGCGCTGTCTTGGGGTTCACGTGGTGCCCACGTGCCAAGATGTATGATTTGTTCCTCGCCTGACTTGGTCGAAGGTGAGGACTGCAAGACAAGATTTGTTCCCTGCTATTTTGGGATCCAAGTGGTGCCCCAAGCTAGTATGTACGATTTGTTGCAGGTGTCTTGTGCTCCAAATCGTGCCCCTGACCTAAGATGTCGGATTTGTTGCCGGTGCCTTGGGCTTCAAGTGGGGCCCCAGCGCAATAATCTGATGTGCGATTTGCTGCTGGCGCCCCCCGCGCGTTGAGATGGTGCCCCAGTGCTAAAACGTACGAGTTGTTACGGTTGTCCGGTGATTTTTGTGGTGCCCCAGAGATCGGATGTACGGTTTGTTTCCGGTGCACTGCGCTTCAAGTGGTGTCCCAGTGCTAAAAAGTCCGATTTGTTTGCTAAGATGAAGATTTGTTGCCGGTGTCCTGCGCTCCTCAGGGCTAAGATTCACGGTTTGTTGCCGGTGTCTTGGTGTCCAACATGGTCCAACTGGCACTCTGAACACCATGAAGTATTTGTTGCCGGTGTCCTGTGGTCCAAGTGGCGCCCCAGAGCTATCACGTACGATTTGTTGCCGCTGTGCTGTGCTTCAAGTTGCACCAAGCGGCGCCCGATCGAGGGCTAGGATGTACATGTGCGTGTTGTTGCCGGTGCTTTTGGCTCCAGCTGGTACGCTCAGATGTACGATTTGTTGCCGGTCCTTGGCTTCAACCACTGTAGTGCTCGAGCGCTACGATGTACAGTTTGTTCCCGGTGTTTTCGGCTCCGCAGGCGCTTTGGCTCCGCTTGGTGCACTGTCCTATGCTCCAAGTGCTGCCCCAGCGCTACGATGTCAATGTACGATGGTGCCGGTGTGTTGGGCTCCAACTAGTGCCCCAGGCCTGACATGTACGATTTGTTGCCGGTGTCCTGGGTTGCCTGCAAGTGGTACCTCTGGCCTAAGGTCTACGATTTGTTGCTGGTGTCTTGGCTCCAAGTAGTGCCCCAGCGCGAAGGTGTGCGATCTCTTGCTGGTGTCCTGTGGAGACATACGACTTTTTTGGGGGTGTCAAGTGGTGCCCAAGTGCCAAGATGTCCAACTGGCGCCACAGTGCCGACTTATTGTCAGTGTCGGGCACCAATGTTATGATGTACGATTTGTTGCCGGGTGTCTTGCCACAATGAGGCTGGCTAGTTTTGAGAAGCCCAAGCCCCAAAATAAGCCTCGAAACTCTCCCGAAAAGTACGACTGTTGAGTTGCTTTTTCGTTACCAAATTTGTCGGGTCCAGGAGCTTGTTTTGAGCAGCTTCAAGCCCGAAATCGGCCTCGAAGTTCTCCCAAAAAACTAGTTGTTTTCGTGAGCAAATTTGTCGGTTCCCTGCATGCGACTTGCACGCTGACTGCAGCGACACCTCCTCCACTGGCCACGGACATGGTGCGTCCCCCCGCATCCCACGTGCATGCCGCTGCGCCCATTTCACCGGCCCCGAAAAAGCTATCCGGGGAAGTTTTACATCAATTTTGCCGGTCCCGGAATGTCTTTCACTAGCCAAACCACCAGCCCAGGGCCGCCTTCAGCAGCAACTTGTCACATTTGTTGGCTAGATTTTAGCCCGCGATCAGCCTCCCGCAACTCTTCTAAAACACAATTAAATCTGAATTTTTCTGGGGCGTTTGATGGATCCGGTCTATGCTCTTGTTACGATGTTGGCTAGATTTGAATTCCGAAATTAGCCTCGCAAAGCTAACCAAAAAATCAACGCAAGACCGTTGATTTTTCTCTGCCATTTTGGTCCAGGAAGGTTTCTTGCATCCTGTCTGCGCACTTGCTGGTGATGTTGGCTAGCTTTCAAGCCCCAACTCAGCCTCCAGCAGCTCTCCAAAAAATCAAGTACATTTAGCTGATTTTGCATTGTTGGGTCCCGGAGCGTGTTGTGGACCCCTGCGCCCGGCTGTGCCTCACCACCCTGTCACCTGCATGCCGCATGGCTCGCCTCAGCACCTGCATGCCGCCCGCATGCCTGCACGCCGCTGCAGGGTCGGACACTGTGCACCTCACCTGCATGCCGACTGCACGCCGCTGCACCCCCTGCGCTGTGGACACAGTGGGTTCCTTATTTATCTAGAACCTCTACTAGCTAAAGCTATCTGGTGAACAAAAAGCTAATTGCTAAATACTAACCAACACTATATGAACTATACACCATATTGTGGAAAGCAACACCGAAGTTGCTGCAAAGTCGCGTCGATTGCCGGCAAAGAGCTCATTGAGCTGGTCTCGCAGCGGTCGGATGTCCCCGCAACTTCCTCTCAAGCGCAAGACGTAGTGTCCAAAAGGAATCTTTGGGAGTCCTCGAAAGAGATCCACGAAAGTCTTGAAAAGGGTATCTACAAAGGTTCTATGTCAGTTCTTATGACAAATTTACAACGAAGTCTTCAACATATTATCAGTGTTATACAGTTGTGTTATATGGGCTTTGGAGACATCACCGCCAGTCTCTAAATTCGGGGGTCCACCTTCCTGCCACTCTTGCAAGTACCGCTATAATTTATAAGCGAATACAAAAGCCATGCCAGGCGGCGTATCATTACGCTAAGGTGCTAGACATGCTTGTGCCCGACACATCCTGCAAAGACAGACACACGCTCACACGCACATGAAAGGCTTTTTGCAACATCGGACGTTGCCCAACAAGTTTCGTTGCACGGGCTGACGCAAGGCCCGGGCAGTTTTTTCGCATCTTAAAGTCTTAAACCACTACATGGACGGCTGCCCTACATGAGAAGCTTCCTTAGTTGCATCAGCCAAACTGTCCGCTCGGCCTCGCAACAAAAGAGGCTTGGCTTGTCTCTTGGGTCAGACCCACACCATTCTTGTCAAGGGTGCTTGCCCAGTGATGCTCGTGCTTTGCGAAGACATTGCAACAATTGGTCTAGCCGAGTCTAGCCTGAAAGTCTGGGGTTGTTGGCTGCACATTAAGGCGGATCAAGCTCGAGAGGCAAAGCAACTGCACATAGCAAAAATGACAAATACCACGCATATCTGGCGAGTTGTGCTTCTCGATGTAACCGGCTTGTGATGAAAGTCTGAATTCCAACATCAACGAGGCGGCAGAGATCTTGAGACACCGGAGACCGGGGTCAGTTCCCATGCACAACATCCGACAGGGTTTCACTTGAGGCTTCCCAGCGCAACAGCTCGATAAAGGGAGAACCATGCACAGGTCCAGAAGGACAAACAAAGCTCTTACAAGCTGGTGACGGCCAACGAGGCCCAATTTCGTTCCATGGGCTGTCCGCAAATCTGCATCGACTTGGTTCCGCAAAGCTAGGCTTTGGACTCTTGTGGACCCATGCATCCGACAACTGCAACACGTGACCTGCGACAGTACCTGGAGAACGGCATCGATTGGCAGATTCTTGAACCTTGGCTCAGACTGCCACAATCTGCCACAAGACTGTCGTGAGTTGAGGCCCAGCATGAGGCAAAATGCGTGCCACTGCTGGTCATCTGAGCATGGTCAACCTAGAGTCCTAGAGTTGATTGCGTGCATGTGCAAGGCATGTGCTACCTTTGTGATACTTGAGGCATGCGTTGCCGATCCTAGTTGCCCAGGAAGCATCAGTTATGCAGCCACGCCGCTGCTGACTCTCAAAGCTGGGTCCAGTGAAGTCCAGATCGACCACATGCAGATGCAGGGAATTGACACCTCGAAACCGGCTGCATGAAAGCTACGGAAAACCGCACAGCAACGATGGCAAAACAATTTGGAGGCAAGGAGCTGTTGTGGCCGTAGACATGAAAGAACAATCCCACGTTGTGAGACCAGCCCTCACTCTCGCGAGCACCATTCACCCAAGTGAGCGCGGCTTCCTGCACATTAGCAACACTCCATGAATTGGCTCGAACAGCGAAGTAGTCCTGTTCTTGCTGTGCATGTTCCGGACAGCAGAACTGGGGTCGTCCATTCATGCAATGAACTGTAGCTACTGCCGAAGTGTGAGCACAAGTCTTTATGCAGTCGCCCTTCAACACGCCCAGGTCAACAAACCTCCACCTCATGCGTTGATCTGCGCGTGCTCATGAGTTGGGAGCTACGAGAACATGGCCGTGTGAATCCGGCTAGGGTTCGCCTTCATCATTCTGATCTCCGAAAGCGCGTCTTGAGCACACGTGCTCATCGGAAAAACTCGTTCTTGCTCATCCATCATGCCTCAGTTCATGCTCTCGTTCCGTGTGCTGTGGAACCGCTGGAGTTGAGCAGTGGCATCGCTTGGATGCTTGGATTGACCCACCCAGTACCCAAAGCAAAGCGCTGGACAAGTCGCCAAAAACGAGTGCATTAAACCACCGCCAATGCAGGTTCCGCCGAATAAGAAATCGATGGCGCTTCGACATGGAAGCTTTCCCAATCCACGCGGGATCGTCGGAATCCCAGTGGGCATCATTAGCCGGAAGGTTATTCGCGATGATATACTTCGCCTCATCCAGCTGCAGCCGTAGATACACAGATTCAGCTGAATGTGGCAGCTAGTACTAGCTATCAAGTGTGGAGATCAGAGGACCAGCAAACTCGCTGCTGGGTTGAACGGACACAAAACGTCTTCAGCTGCCTGCCAGTGGAGCAAGAAGGTCTGCTTGTCGGCGGTACTGCCGGTATACGAGGCAGCTGCCTCCCAAACAGGCCCCCAGTGGTTGGCTTTGCATCCCAGCTACATCTCGTTTCACTATGCCAGGCTGTCTTTTCCCGAGAAGACAGCCTTGTTCGCGAAGACCTTCCTCGCAGTGACGACGCGCCAGTGGCGCTGCACTCTTAAGGTGACTTTGAGGAGCTTCTGGTTGTAGTCCTTCTCTGACATCTCCTGTCATGATCAACCAAAGCCAAACATGCAAACATTTCAGGCACAAGGAACACATGGGAAGAATCCGAGCAACCTACAAATCTTCGGTCCTCTGCCTGGGCATGTCCGGCATACCAAGGCAACACTGAGGTCCCGGGTGCCTAAGACCGAGACGTCACGTCTTGTCGTCACATGTTGGGAACCGACATGTCCCCAGGGTGGCTCTATTGCGGCTGTGGGTCCTGCAACAGCGTGACCTCGTTCCTTGGCGAATCGTCCTCCTTCTTGCAGCATTTGCACCTCGGGCAGTCTCCCACAGCAGCTGCTTGATGCCTGTAAAACGCGGCTTCTGACATCAAACGACTTCTTGGTCGACTGCATGAAGCTGCGAACCCTGCGAATTGTTCCGACAGTCAGCTGTCTGTCTGCAAAGGCAAGCGGCTCATTTCCCATTGGCCCATCGGCCGTGAGCTTCTGGGCCCAATTAGATGTAATTACACACGAGCTGTTGAAGTGCTAGCCAGTTCAGAAACCAGAATGTCGTGGCTCTAGCATTAAGGTAAAAGGATACCATTGAACATGCTATCATGCGTGAGAACTGGGTACATGTCTCAGAATAACCGTCAGCTGAGCCAAGTCAACAAGAATTTGGCAAGACCCAAGCCACACATCTCCTGAGTGGATGTTGCTTGCAAGGCCTGCCGCACGCGAATCGAACGCGGTTGACCGTAAATTACGGCTATCAGAAAGGCCGGAGGCCGGTAGCACAACAAACATTTTCTCCCAGCCAATGCCTAGTAGGAAAACGCGACAGCTAAGTGGCTAGGCGCTGTAGACAGACCTGTATTCTTTGCCAGGCCCGGAGATCCAATCGTTGAAGATCTTGCTAAAATTTCTTCGGTGCCAAAACTCGAAAGCATTCACCAAAGTAGTTCCGCGACATCTGACATTCCAGCGATCAACGAACTTGTCATCGAGCATCGTCTTTATGGTGCTCCACTCCTGCCGAAAATCGACTGCATCTAAAGAGGCAGGGACACGGTGCTCTGCAATGTGGTGCAGTAGGTGCGCGCGCTCAAGACGCCAGACATGATTTACTAGCGCCTGCATGGCGACGAAAAGGGCAGCTGAAGCTCAACTTAAATGTTCTTAGCACGGCTATCGCTGCAAGAATAACGTACATGCTGCGCGTCTCCTCCCGAGGGCACTGGACGTAGATGTCTCTGTCCACCCATTGGCAAGCATCCATGGCGAAGGAAGGCCACTGCAAGTGGTACTTCAGGAGCATCTCGGAAGGCTCCAAATGTGGACCACCGTACCTCTCATACTCCTCACCTTGCTGGGCTCAGGCAATGAAAACAAACAGTCAAGGCAGAATTTTGAGCACTCGCCCCTTCCGGGCGGAGGTGGCACTTGGATTCGGTTGGGGAAGAGGCTGCGCTTTGTCAGGAGTTCAGCGTGAGCTGTTTGGCATGGTGTTCTAGTCTTCCAAGCTTCTGCTTAAGCTGATGCTGATTTGTGGTGCACTCGGGGTTGCATCGGCTCCACCACAGTAGAGTATCGTGATCACCCCCCCCCCCCC